CAACATTATACACTACACCCCTGAACCAATACCACTTTTCTTTTTTTATATATTTCTATTCCCCATGCTACCTTTTTCTTTCATCTCACTAACTATTCTCTCTGCTAATATATCACCTTCCACAAATCTTCACCATTACACAGCAACTTAAATGCTTTTTATAGCAAACAGCCTAGTATACTTTATAACCCAGATATAACTTCTCTTCTGAATCATTTCTTGAACTATTTCTTAAGGTTACTGCAACTGATAACATCTTTGTAAGTCATTTTCATCTTATATTAAGATTATTTGGCTTGTTCATATTTTCTGTTCATCTTTTTTGATCCAACTTGAAAAAATTCTGTTAGGATTTTTTAGCTCTGCCGATTTTTAATAATAACTGAATATTTTGTTTTCACCAAATCAAATATAGTATAGGTTACCCTTTTAAAAAAACTATTAAACTTACTAAATTATATAATTATTGAGCATTTCTATTTGTACAAGGGTTGTCTATACACAGGTATTATTAGAAAATTAATCAGGTTACATGATTAGGTGTAATATAAACTTAATTTTTTAAAATATTACTGATATCTCAAAATTTGATTATAAACCCATTTTTTGGCTTCTAGCAAAAAAAATTTCTTGCAAAATTTTGGTAAAAACTATAACCCTGCCCAAATCCCAAACACACCCTTACCCTAACCATAGGCAGATTTAATTTTTGTTTTATAAAAATTGTTTTGATTTATATGTTACACAGATTTGCAAATTAATATCCATGTATATACACCCCAAGTATGAATATAAATATTCTTTTTTTTTTATAATTATTTTATTATATCAATATTATAATTAATATTTTAATTAATATTAAAAAGCTAATTTAAAATAATATATAGTAAATAATTTAAAAATTTTAAAGATTTTATTAAGGGTAAGCTATACTATATTTGATCCATGATGAATTAGTAAATTTTTTATCGATTCTGATTCAGCCGACCATGATTCCGATGCACTCTTATGTATCCCAATCAGGAATCTTGGGAACTCCTTGTATGAGTTAGTGCATACCCTCTTTAAATGCACGGTTAAGGTGAGTTCTGACTGTAATTAATTCTAATGTATTAAATTATAGTATACAAGTGAAGTAGGGTGCCGGTGGTGCCCCTATTGCATTACTTGTGCCAATTTTGGTCAAATTATTTAATATATGTCAAATGGGTTACGTCTCATTTCGTCGAAACAATTCCTATGTTATTCACTTACACCACGCTGGGAGACAATTTACTAACAATACAGTACTAACAATATGTACTAAATTGTCACCCTTAGTGATGCCGAGTAAATGATGTGTCGGTAAAATAGTTTTGAAGTGAGTGTATGCAGTCAAATAACACCAATTAGATCACATGCTCATAATAATTATGTAGATATCAAAAAAGATATCAAAAAAATCTTAAATATGATGCAGGCCGACTATAAACATGGCCATGTGATATTTATATTCAGTATCTATGATAAAAAAATAGCAGATTTCTTTGTGAGAGAGGACTGGGTCGCGATTGATAATGTGGAATCAAAACTGCGCTTTCCTCAGAATCAGCTTTTCCTCACAGTAAGACAGAATTACTATATACGGAAGGTCATTAAGAATCATACTCATCCTGTAATCTTGATTATGCAGGATTAGTCCTGTTCCGTTGCTATTTTCACAGGGTAAATTACCCTGCTTAACGCTTTTTTGATCCGTTAACTCAAATGAAGTTATAGCGAATCGATATAGTATCAGTGAATGGATCTGTATAGTACAGGCCCAATTTTTTAAAAACAACACCATACCGATTAATTAGCTATAATTTCTGACCCTAATATGTGCATATAGTATAGTTTATTAATCGGCCTGTACTATACGGATATGTTCGCGGAATAAATTTTTCTCATCGGATTTATAATTTATAATTACAGAATTACTAAAGCAGGTATTGGCATGGCGTGACCAAAATTACCATTTCATTTTTAGTTAGTTTTATATGTGAGATTACAGATTTTGCGCGTGCTATAAAACGATTGCGTCATATGTAAAATTACAATTTTTTATGAATGCTATAAAATATATGATATTTTATGGGTAATTATGAATCCAGACCAAAAAATGTTATTACGTCATATATAAAATTGGTCCGAGAAAAAATAATTACCCATATGCAAAAATTACTACTTTCGCACGCTATCACAAATTATAAGATCTGGCCTATTAGATCCCATAAAGATTACATTTCATGACAGTCTTTATCAGGCCTACCGAAAAATTAATTGCAATTAATTTTTATCATACATCATACAATTAAAATCAATTAAAATTATCATGAAATTAATTGAAACCAAATTAATGACGAAATAATTGCAATTAATTCAATTTTTTGCGTAAAGCGATGCCTAATGTAATCCGATTTTCAAACAGCGAAAAATCCAAAATCGCATTTATTTGCTGTGATTAATGGCGGATAGATATGTAATCCAATTAAGTAAAATTGCAATTAATTGATAATTATAGCTGCGCCACCAATCAATTAATTGAGTTCGAAATATTGCAATTAATTGCCCCACAATCAATTATTCGGTAGGCCTGGTCTTTATTATTTTTTTTTTATAATAATACCAAATTTCAACCATCAGTATCAGGTATGGGAAATTTTTTAACATAATATTACACGATCACCAATGATGTTGATAATCGCCATTTTCCAACGTACTGAAATTTTACTGACAATTTGAAGTCATGAGTCATGCACTTATTAGTTCTGACCAATCAGATACTCTGCAACGGTCAGGATACTCGTGATAGTGGGTGATTTTATTATCGTTAAAGTTGATCGGAACCTGTTAAATCATTAGCTATACATTTATGTAAGGACTTATTTCTGACCAATCAAGTACTTTGGTGCGGACAGGACAGCCGTAATTTTATTATATTTTGATTGATTGATTGATTGAAAGTTGATCGGAACCTGTTAAATCATTAGCCATACATTTATGTAAGGACTTATTTCTGACCAATCAAGTACTTTGGTGCGGACAGGACAGCCGTAATTTTATGAATTTTGATTGATTGATTGATGATATGGGAATCCCTACAGCAAAAAGAGGCAGTAGGCCAAAAAAAATTTTTTTAAAAAATTGCAATTTCTCGAAGAATTAGAGTAATGGGCATATAATTTAATGTAATAACGGTTTTATTCTATGATTTACTATTTCAGTTTATAAAATAAGATCAATAATTTTTTCATATAGAAATACCATGAAATATTTGATATATTTTATAGACTGATCATAGTAAAGCATTGAATAATAAAAAATACCTTGATATATACGCGTTGCTAAATTAAGTAAAAGCACTTCTTGTAAAAATTAATATAGAATTTTAAGTGTATTAACTTATTATTTTATTGTCTTATTCTAGCATCTCGATATGATCACAAAGAAGTTCTTAATCTGTCTACTGAGTAATATTAAAAACCCAAGTAGTAATAGAATTAGCTGGACTTTCATAAATTAAAATGCCATCAATAATATTCCATGTATTTGGTAGTAACTTAAGTGTTTCATTGTCATTAGATGTACGGTAAACATGAAATGAACTAATATTGAATTTAGAAACATTAATATTCCAAACATCTGGTGCATTATTCTTATTTGTGCAAACTAAAACAAGCGTTTTATTGCTAGCATCTTGTGCAGCAAGGGTATCAACATCATTAGAAAAAATGATTTGATATCCTAAAGAAATTTTAAAATAGAAATTTGGTAAAAAATTTACTATAAATATGAAAATATGAGAGCAAAAAATATACCTGGGCGAATAAACTTAGTGTATTGAGCAAATCCATAAAATGATAGACGTATATCTAGAGGAACACTTGAATTACTAAAATCTGCACTGATCAAGCCATAGTCATTACCATCATTACCATTAGGAGCCTAATGGATATAGCAAAACTTGATATTTTAATATTAAGATATATATCTAGAGCAAAAAGAAAAATAACCTACATGTTCAATTGCTTGCCAATAAACCCATGCAACAGGCTTTTTAAAATAAAAAATAGTTAAGTTATAAAACTGTATCAAATAAATAAAATACTTCTTTAACTATATTTGTTGTCTATTTCACCTTAAGATATCTCATGTCCTTTAAAATTTCTTCAGAAAGTTTAATACTTGCGGACATATTTTTTGATGACCAAGATCCCCTAATCCAAAATTCAACCGAAAAAACTTAACATAATTTCATTATACTTATAAAATATAATTGATGCAACAAATATTACATACCATTCGCTCATCCAAAGTCTTTTGCCATTTTCTTTTGCAATATGATAAAGTGAACTTCTTGCAATTCCACTATAAGCATGTGTATTGTACTGGCTGACATATGATTTAACATTATTGCCAAAAATACCTAAGGTATCAACGGCAAAAATAGTGGCAATTTCTCCTTCAAATAAACCTTCATCTGCCATTGAAACAGTTGTTGTGTTTAAGAGACCTTTTTGATTAAGATAAGAACCGACCTGAAAAAAAAGGTATTTTTAGTAGATATTTTTATTTTTTTCTAATATTGGTAAAGATTACCCTTTTAACAATTTCGCTCATCGACAAATGGTTGTAGGTACATCCTTCTTGGGAACCTATTTGAATAGATAATGTGTTATACGTAAAATATAATGAAGGATAATAATACGAATTTAATCGAAATGCTGATAAGAAATTTGTGACGACTAGTTGTTAAACGATTATCTCAATAAATTTTAGAATACTCCTTT